GGGCTTGCACAGGTTCTGCACGATCCTCTTCAATAATATCCTCTGCTTCTCAATCGGGCTCAAACTGATAAGTGATATTAACTACGCCGTTGTTTACAATACAACCGGAGCACATGCCGCTGAGGTGAGGGGCGGGACATTTAGACGCTCACTAGAGGCGGTTTAGCCAATCACAACACACTGGGCTAGCTAACCAATCAGAGCCCATCGCCTATTTCTGAGGGCGGGGCTTCATAAAAACAGGAAAACATCAGTCCGTTTCTCAGAGAAGGGACAGAGTGGTGTGGAATAAAGTTAAATTGTGTGAAAAATAATGCGTTTTTTTTTTTTAAATGAAGCATTAACACATGTTAGACTGCACCCCATAAACACAATCAAGCCTAGAAAAAACCCAGTGAACCACCCCTTTAAAATCATCATGCTGGACTGAATTCAAGTTTCAAGTCGAGTTTGCTCTCTTTAATGATTCTTGTCAGCCAAAGATAAAGCAAAGATAAAAGACAAAGACAAAAATTGTCTTTTATCTTTCAGCAAAGATAAAAGACAATTTTTTATATAACTCCGACTGGATTCGTCTGAAAGAAGAAAGTCATATACACCTAGGATGCCTCGGGGGTGAGTAAAACGCAACCTAATTTTGATTTTTGGGTGAACTAACCCTTTAATGCATTAACTAACATTAACAAATGGGGCCTTATTGTAAACTGTTAATAAAAAGTAACCAATGAAGACAGCCAATGAATATGTGACACTTCCATGAGATTCACTGTGACATCTGAGAAGTAAAACAAAGTTTGCTTTTAACTGTGTAAAACTGCTTGTGTTAATGTACACTGTAATGCCATTTAGCTTTATAATACTGTACTGCATAAAAATGCTTTAATGATGATGTGGACTTCATTTGCGCATTCCTCTTTGACAAGATTCATCACACAGACCTGAAGGGCCTTTTGTATAATAAATAATCGATTGGTTTCTTTCCCCTGCAGTTTATCGTGCTCTATGTTGACAAATGCTCACATGCCTCCACGACTTTTTAAATAAAATCATATTTTTCTATTTTAAAGACCCACACAGTCAAGACAATAGTCACTCATTTTTGTATCACATGGATGAATTCATAAACTTGAAAGCTGTTTTCTGTCTGCACAGCAGCACTCTGAGCTTTAATGAGAATGAGTGTTTTTAATTGAAGGTCACAGAGTAAATTGCAGGCATCTGCTTAATTTTTTTTTTCTGCCTGTCTTTTAAGAGAGAAAACAGCGAATGCAACACTATGTGCCCTTCTAAAGACACACTGTACCCTGACAGACTCACCCTGCAGTTCCCCAGTTCCTCAGCAGATAAGATGATAGTGCCGCAGTTCTTCCCCGGTATGCCCCTGAAATAGACAATAAAGATGCCATCAAACCATCAGATGTTAAACTCAGTGATTACACAACAGCAGTAATGAAGTAAAACTGAAGTAAAAACACCATGAGGAGGTCTAGGCTCATGAGTTTTATTAGACAGAAGTAATTTTCTATGCTAGTTTCAGGTGTAAGAATTCCCAGTGCTAGTGAATGAACTTTAAGAAGGTTTTATGCAAGTAAACTTTACCAGGTTCAAACATCTTCACCACAGTGGGCAAAAACTTCACATCACAGTCATAAAAAAACAGGAATGCAAGAAGAATAAGTAGTGAAGCAATTTTGGCAATATTATAAACAGATAAACTATTTTCTTTCAAATAAATATATAAAAAATAAAACTGGAAATATCATAGAGATATATTGTTCAGATAATTTGACCTATTTATGACAAGGTTAGATCAGGATGTAAAATGTCATTTGGTGTAATATTAATTAAGAAACAATAATATATGATATTTGTAGTATTGTAGTCATTTTTTTTTTTTTATATATATTGTCAATGTAAAAAGTATTTTGAAAATAATGATGAAAGATGGCCTGTGAATAAATCTCACTCCAAGCAGACTACAGAATGCAGAAGGGGGTTGTGGAATTGGGCTTTAAAAGGTCCATCATCTGCCCATCCCTACATTCAGATTCTGGACACTTCTCTCAGCCTCCCATTAATACAGAAATCACAAACACAGTCCCTGAAATGCATAAACAGTTTCATTAGCACTGATGTTGCCCATATGGCTAATTTCTCCTTCAGGATTCTTCATTCGCAATAGAGACAGATGCATGCAGTCTGTGTTAGCGCTTTAGCCATGTGTTCACAACTGAAAACCATTTTGCTAGACATATTTTTCTCTAGCTGAAAACCATAATGGCTCCACATGACTACTGTCGGCAAACATCCTGCTCTCTAGGACAACATCTCCATAAAACAAAGTTACATCGTCACCAGATGGACAGCCTGCTTTTATCTCGATGCCTAGTATGGCCTGTGCCAGTGGAAGAAGAAATAAAGTAATAATTCACCAAAACAACTGGTTTCTCAAAACAAATTTAATCAAGCTTGTTACAACAACATCCGACTTGCTGAATGAGGTTGAGTCAGTCCAGTTATATCTGCTTTCACACAGCGTCACCATGGAAAGGCACAATGGCCATATTACAGGTAAAATTTCCTGGAAGAACATGTAGTTACCAGTCCAAAACCTTAACCACTGACTACACCATACTACACAAATTTACATTAGCTACAACTCACATATGGAATTTCACATACTACAATAAAACTATTATTTGAAAAATTTGTCAGCTACACTACAAGGTAACAGAAAGTAAACTATATTATAAGGGGGCAGTATCTTTTAAAATATATAATGATCAGATTATATGATTCAATTAACAAAAGTGCTTATTTGGCTCAGAAACAACAAGGACATCAACTAGAATGGCAGCATCAAACTTGGTATAGTAGTTCACAAAAATGAACCCTTAAAGGGTTAGTAATTACTCACCCTCAAGTCATCCTATAGGTGTATATGACTTTCTTCTTTCAGCATCAGTCCAAAAGAAGTGAAATAAAGCTCATCCATCCACAATAAAAAGTGCCTCACACGGCTCTGGGGTGTGAACAAAGGCCTCCTGTAGTGAATTGATGCGTTTTTGTAAGAAAAATATCCATATTCAAAACGTAATGATCACTTTAATGTAGCTTGCGCCAATAGTCCTACACGGAAGCAGCTCCGGGGGAATGACGTATGAGGTCGGCTTTGCGAATGCGCCGCTCAGAAGTGACGCACACGGAAGCGCAGGGGAGAGATCAAAACAAAGCAACGGTCACTTATTAGAAGTACAAAACGAGGATTTGTAAAGAAGAATGTCGGAGGATTTCGATATAAGCCAAGAGGAGACTGGTTTTCCTTTGCTAAAGTAAGGAAACTTTGCTTCCTTTGCTCCTGTTAACTAACGTTGGTTTTCACGAGACTCACCGGTGCATGCGCAACGCTGAACTCATACGTCATCCACCCGGAGCTGCTTCCGTGTAGGACTGTTGGCGCAAGCTACATTAAAGCGATTATTACGTTTTGAATATGGATATTTTTCTTACAAAAACGCATCAATTCACTACAGGAGGCCTTTGTTCACCCCCCGGAGCCATGTGAGACACTTTTTTTTATGAGTGTGCTCTTTTTATTGAACTTCTTTTGGACTAATGCATGCAACACCCACTGAGTGGCATTAAACAGCTTGAAAGATCAAATACATTTTTTAATATAACTCCGACTGAATTCGTCTGAAAGAAGAAAGTCATATACACCTAGGATGATTTGAGGGTGAGTAATTTGTGGACTAATTTTCATTTTTGGGTGAACTAACCCTTTAACACTAAAACTATACTGCATCCTAGTTTATAAGCATTAAAAAGCAATATTTAACTAAATATTTATTCCTTAAAAAATGACACAGATGACAGAATGTTTCAGGAAAAAGGAGTGATGATTCAAATGATTCAGTGAATCATTTTTTTGCAAGTTCGTGTCAGTGAATCATCTACATGAACCGTCTCAAACAAATCATATCTCCCAACAGATTTTACATTGGACATCATGTGTCGACCCAAAACAGTTCTAGAAGTATTAAAAATCATACGTTAACATTTATTCATATCACCATGCATTGCGCAGACCCATTATATAAATGCATTGTATAAAATTGTTGCATTTCATTTATATATAGACTTTCATTATCAGTTGTACAATTTCATAGTTTGTAGTTTAACAGAGATTGACAATATCGGCACAAGCTGAAGAATACCCCAGTTTCCAATACCTCCATGATTTAATGTGCATTTTTTAGACAAAACTCTGAAACTTATCCCAACAACTTCAGTAGCCTTCTGTCAAGACATGCTGTGTCAAGTGTGCAGACTGCATTGTGTTTTATTTGGTTTGTATAAATGCTGTATAAGTAAGAGAATGCCATTTAATCTCCTCTGTTTGGACTGAGATCCCACCAGTGCTTGCTCACACTCCAGTGTTTGCTAATTGGTTCATTACTCGTCTTTACGTCCCCCTGGAACAACAGGAATCCTAGTTTATATTGTTGTACAGCTACAAAGGCTTGTCTAGAGAAACAAGCAGGACAGTCTTTCGTGTTGACACCCTCCAGCGAGCTAAAGGTTGTATTTTTAATGTGAAAGGTTTTCACACGCTGTTTCCAAACTGAGCACTTAAATCACAAATGGCGTAAAGTATCGTGATTACTACTCAACTGAACTAACCATTTGACCAAGACTGACAAAACATCCACAATGTGGCAGTGCTTTCTCATTTACTGAGCCAAAAAGATCCATGGGAAACCCGCTAAAAGAATATAAAATATATATTATAAATAAATAAAATATATATATATAAAATAAATATATATAAATAATTATGTGTGTGTGTGTGTGTGTGTGTATACTTTCCGTACCCACTGTATATATATATATATATATATAATGTATATTATGTTAATTTATTGTATAAAATAAATCAAATATATAAATATATATTAATGTTATAGTTATATATTTTATCATCAATAATGACATAATACTATACACACATTATATAATTATTAATAATTACATTAAAGAATATTATAAAAATATATTTAAAATATATAATTATGTAATTTCGTTGTATTTCTATATATTCTATATAGTTCTATTTTATTACCCTATTATTTCTATATATTATATATTTATTTCTATACTGTAT